GCTTGGAAAACGCTTTCTCAGCACAATCTCTGCTCATCTTAATCCTAACACTCCTTTATTCTTCCTGTCTCTCTTTTCTGGAAAATCCTTTCCAATTGTTTTGCTTTGTCTTCTCCTTTGTCCTCCATGCTGCTGAGCTGATTTTTCCCTCCTTTAATGAAATTCTATGCTCTTTCCCTAAGTTGTTTTGGAGCCCTTCTTATATCCTAACTTAATTCGCTTCCCAGATATTTTTAAAAGAGAGTTTTTGTTCACTATAACACTTTTTTTTTTTTTTTCTGTTTTGAGACAGGGCCTCACTCAGCCCTGCCTCAAACAGGCTGGGATGCAGTGACGCAATACCAGTTCACTGCAACCTCGACCTCCTGGGCTCAGGTGATCCTCCAACCTCAGCCTTCTGAGTAGCTGGGGTCACAGGCATGTGCCACCATGCTCAACTAATTTATTATTGTTATTGCTATTTGTATAGATGGGGTCCCCCTATGTTGTCCTGGCTGGTCACAGACTCCTGGATTCAAGTGATCCTCCTACCTTGGTCCCTATAGTTCTGAGATACAGATGTGAGCCAGAGTGCCCAGCCTATGATACCACTTTTTAATACCAACAAGTAGAAAAAGACTACATATAAAAAGTTGTCCTCTTTTTTTTTTTTTTTTTTTTTTTTTTAAGATGGAGTTTCCCTCTTGTTGCCTGGGCCGGAGTGCAATCTCGGTCCACTGCAACCTCCACCTCATGGGTTCAAGTGATTCTCCTGCCTCAGCCCTGAAGGAGCTGGGAATACAGGTGCCTGCCATCATGCCTGGCTAATTTTTTGTATTTTTAGTAGAGACAGGGTTTCACCGTGTTGGCCAGGCTGGTCTGGAACTCCTGACCTCAGGTGATCTGCCCACCTTGGCCTCCCAAAGTGCTGGGATTATGAGTGTGAGCCACCACGCCCGGCCAAAGTTTCTATCTATGTAATACTATATAGATAAATACCTATTCTGTGCCTCTCTGTGTCAAGCCTTCCATAAGCCCGTGGATTAAAGATGTGAAGACTTCTCTGCTCCATGGAAGCAAGCTCATGGTCCAGTCATATGGGAGCTTCAGAAGCTGATGAATGTGGAGAGAATGACGTCTGATAGCAGGGCCCACTCTGGAATAAGGGAACATAAAGAAAGCCTTGAAATACAAATTGGAATTCACAGGAACATTAGGCCCCTCTTGTTTACTTACAGGAATCTTCATCCATATAATTGTTTTGAAGGCAATAGCTCTATAACAAATTATTTACCAAATTACATTCCTAGAAACAGAAGTTTGATTAAGTACATGCCAAAATAGTACCATATAGTATATAGCCAGCTTAGTGTATTGGACTGTCTTAAAAGTGGCATAGCTTTAAAAAATATAAACAAGCTTCCGAAAGTATTGAATTTGCTCACAGATGAGAGTTTTATATCTGATTACAGAGATACACCAAGGTTGTTTAGGGTCATAACTTTTATAGTTTGGCATTAGATCTTATCCACGTTCTCATTCTCACAAATGTTCCATGTTCCTTCTTCAGAATAAAACACTCAGCTGGATACATTAGAGCACACTATGCCACCTTAGGGCACAGAAGGACAATAAAGAATTGCACCTTATAGTTTTTTTTTGGCTCATTCTTATTTATGTTGTATTTTATGTGTTTTGTAGTATATCTTATATGTTGAAAATTAAATAGATGTATGAATACATACATGCACTTTAATCAGATGTACCAATGTAGGAGGATATCATCCAAAATTATTAGCATCTCTTTATTAGGCTTTGTTTGGCTGTAAGTAATAGAAAACCTGAATAAGAGTGACTTAGACATAGTATGCTTATTATTCATTCAACAAAAATCTAGGTAGGTGGTCTTAGAGTTAGCATAGCAACCTAGTGATTTTATTAAGGGTCCAGAATTTGCCTATATTTCCATACACATCTTTTGCATGACTTTCAAGAATAAAATTTCACCTGGTGATGAATTACACTTACCCTACCCAATGCCTCTGTGATTTCAGGTAATAATACTATTATTATAAAATGCTTAGGTACATTCTAAGCTTTCAAATGTATTGATAATTGCAGTTATTTACTTAAAGAATGATCATGCCCAATGTTTTATTATTGTTTATTGTCATTTAAAAATTATAATAATGATGTTTTCTTTGAATTCAGTAAAGTCATTGTGAAGGTTAAGCATGAGTATTTTAAATTAATTTGGGGATTCTTTAAGCTGTGGAAATGGAAAGCCTCAGTGCATGTTAAGCCTGATATCTGAGCTTTCCCACCCCAGACTTTTGCAGAGCCATTTACTCGGGTCTCTGATCCTCTGTAATGTGCTGATAGATGATAACATGATGGAGAAATCCGTTGGTAGAATGGGGCGGTAACCACTAGAGACAGCAGTTGTCAGATGGAAATTAATTGATTGTAATTGCTTTGCCATTGTATTGCACTTGAAGTCTGTAGCTTGTTAAAACCACTGATTATAAAATAAGGATCTCACTTTTTATGCTGTGGATTATGTTAATGAAAAGCTGTTCTTAGAAGCATGATCAGTGAATATCAATAAATGGATAATAAGAAATTAAAGGAAAAGTTAACTAACTGATCATGAGTTAATATACTTCAGCAGCCAGAGTAGCAGTCAAATGTGCACGGTTTCATATTGAATTTTTTGTTCAGAGCTCTTGAATTTTAAATATTTCCCATAGAGAGATTGATTATGTGTGACTGTTTGTCACATACTGTCTTGAATAACAGATCTTTACTATAGAGAATCTCCTGCAAGATGAAAAATGTGTGTGTTTTGCAGAGCCTTTATTTTGTGCCAAAGTATTAACAAGCAGATATTTTGAAGTGGAAAACATAGGTTCCCATTGCAACACCAATAGTGGTTTATTTCAGTGCTCATGGAATATGAGTAACATATGTGTGAGGGTCTGTGTGAATCTGAAGGCCTTGCTTTTGCAATCCTTATCAATATTACAAAACGTATACTAAAATGATAACATAAATGTTAAATTATATTTCACTTTTTGCTGTACAAAATGCATTAACTTTTGTAAAATTGTAATGAGGTTTTTAATTACAGCTTTCATTTCTAGCATTTAATTATTGATGTTAGAGAGATCAGATATTTTGAAGATATTTTTATGAGCACCAATTCTTATCAAGCCTCCATGCTGGCCCTCAAGGACGTTACAGAGGAAAAGAACAGATAAAACAAAGAAAGGATTACTTGCAGTTTTGAATGCAGTGAGGAAAGTGATAAGAGGCACTGGGAGGCACATGATGAGATCATCTAAATTCTGAGGATTTCTGGGTGTCCTCAACAAAGAATGAAGGTCTGGGAAGAAGGAGCAGTGTGACAGTTCTTGGTATTTTGAGAAAATAGAATGATAGTTGAAAATTAAGTTGCATGAAGTTTTAAAATGCAAGAAGAGACCATCAGACAGATAAACATATAGATGGCCCATGCCCTGGTTTGCCCTACTATGGATTTTAAAGTTATTCCCACAGGAGAGCCCCATGAGGATTTTTAGATGTGGGAGAGATAGGGATGAGTTTCCTTTTAAAATGATCACTCACCATCAGTTGTGACGATAATCAGGGAAGAAGCTCATTGTGACCTTCATTTACTTTCTTAGTTCATTTTCTATTGCTTTAACTGAATACCTGAAGCTGGGCAATTTACAAAGAAAATATATTTATTTCTTGCAGTTTTGGAGTCTGGGAAGTCCAAGGTCAAGGGGCTGCATCTGCTGAGGGCATTCTTGCTGGTGAGGACTCTCTGCAAGCCCTGAGGCAGTGCAGGGCATCGCATGGATGGGGGCAAGAGAATGTCAGCTCAGTCCTTCTTTCTCTTCTTAAACAGCCAACAGTTCCATCATGGGGGCCTCACCGTGATGACTTTATCTATTCCTAATTACCTCCCAAAGGCCCCATCTTCAAATATCATCAACATAAAAAATTAAGGATTAAGTTTCCAACACATGGAATTTAGGAGACACATTCAAACAAGGGCGGTTAATAAGCTGGTATAATATCCTGTGCTGTTGAATATTATTATTAATCTAAATATGTGTAAAGGAAATTAAAAGCTTAAGCGCTGAATAATTTTTTCTTCTTTGACTTTTTAAGTATATTTTTTGTTGAATGTTATGGTGGAATTGGTGCTAATAGTTAGTTGCTTAAAGCTCTGTAATTAGAATAATGTCTACATGTGGTAATAAAGTCTGTATCTTGTAGATAGCACATATTTATGGTTAGTCTCGTATTTGGGATGCAGATATTGATGTATAACTTAATTTGAAAATGTATGTAATTATGATTTTAAAAATGCATGTTTAAGATAATGCTAAAAAATGACAATAATTGGTCCTGTTAAATATTTACCAGAAACATTCTTCATATTTGAGAATCTGGTTCAGAATTTAGAACATTTGCATTTTAATTACATAATAAAAGGAGAAAGTGAAAGAATAATTGGCTTAGCTATTAGCCAATTATAGCTGTAACTAAAAAAAAATCCCCCAAACTGACATTGGATTCCACAGAATAGTCACAATATACATTGATCAGATGTTTAATTATATTTGGCAGCAATAAAGGGAAGGGAATGTTGTTTCAATCCTTCATACAACTTGTTTGTTAAAACTAAAATTAATGAGGGTGGATTTGGGGTGTGTTTGACTCAGGATCGTTGAGCTTTTAGTGTTTATGTGTCCTCAAATGGGGCTTCTCCAGAGTGACTCCAATAGTTAAAATTTAGTGGAGAAATAAGACAATTGAATACAGTGGTTACTGTATTCAAAGCCAGCTGCCTTTGGTCAGTACCATGGAGGGTTGGAGCTGTCTGTCTAGAGTCCCAGAGGTCAGAGCCCATGAGAAGGCCTCCGTACAGAGATCCAGGACCAGTGACAGGAGTTGTTGGTGTCAGAATGTGCTGCTGACAGCATTTCCCTCTGTGCTTTCCCTGACAGATACGACGACATATTCCACAGAGCGATCCGAGCACTTCAAACCCTGCCGAGACAAGGACCTCGCATACTGTCTCAACGATGGCGAGTGCTTTGTGATCGAAACCCTGACCGGATCCCATAAACACTGTCGGTAAGCCACTGAGGACACTGGTGGAAAGGGCAGGCCCTCTGTAAGGCCTGGGGGTGGAGGGTGCTGGCAGCATCTGTAATGTGTCATGTCCGGGATACACACAGTCCCACTGTTTGAATAGCAGAATTGGGAGTTTTAATTTGGAAAGGGCAAGGCTGCTGTCTCTTTAACAGTTGAAGACAAAACGGAAACAAAGCAGTCACGGTTTACGTTTTACCTGACTAAGCAAACGAAGATGTACCTTTAGATCTGCAAAGTTAATGGAAATAATTATTTACACACTTTAGAAGAGTATATTTATGATGTGGAACTTAGGCATATATCCTAGTACTCAGAAATAATCGGTTCTTGAGAACCTGCTGACTGTGGCAGGAGAAGCAAACTGCTCATCTAAGATCTAGAATCTCCGTGTTTATTTGTGAACAAACCCCAGAGACTTTAACTGTGTCCAGAGAAAACTGCATTTTATTTTGTTTCTGCCCTCCTTTATTAATTTCAATACTTTCTCTTAACACTTCTGATGAAACACTCTCCAGCAAGAAGTTGTAAATGAAATAGCAGTCCTGTTATAGTCTAAGTAGAGAACTACTTGGGGAAAACTCCCAGTAGAGATCAGGAAGGTGTTTAATTGGTTTTTAGAGACATAAGTTATGTAACTGGTAAAAGTAAAAACAAGGGGGGATAAAGAGTGCACTTATAGACACTGCAGCTTTAAGACTCCATAGAAGAATCAAATTAACATCTGAAAAATGTTTCTTACCAAGTTTTCACTTCAAGTAATACCCTGGTAATTTGTTTTTCTTTGCAATTGTATATGCATCGGTGATCATAGATATCCACACCCCTTTTCTTCTCTTTATTTGCTCTTCTCATATGACACAGTTATTAAATTAATTATTCGGAATCATGAGGCATGGAAAATTATGACTTTTTTCTATTACTGTTATAAAACTCGATTCCCATGTTGTTTCACTAAGATGATGTAGAGAAATGTATCGTATAGTTACAAACTTAGAACATGCCATGCCGGCGGAAGCTGCCTGGATCCAAGAGCCAGGTTTAGTCCACAGGGAAAATGTATTGCCACACTGAGCAATGGCACAGGTTTGGAAGAACAGATACATGATATGGTAGGAGGGCTCTGTAAAAGTTACCGTATGTCCTGTGTCAGGACAAATAGAACTGTGACCTTTCCTCACCCCTGACATGTGGTGTTCATATATGACTTTGGCAGTGCCACTGCATGCACCCGAGTTGCAAAATTGGCACCCTATTCCTATGCTCTGCAAACCTGGGTTGGGGAAGAAGAGGAGTGGGGATTGTTTCTCTCCACACTTCTCCTCTCTCATATTTTTTTGTGACTGTGCACGTATGGACACGAAGCACACAAGTGATATTAAGACCTTAAGGGAAAATCCAGGAATGCACTACTCCTTCAAAGTGTGATGTGCATGCAAGCCCTTTTAGATCCTCAACCATGTTACAGTTACCTTGGTCAATCTAATGAGATTATCATTTGGAAGTGGGCAATGCAATCAATTATGTTTGAATTTGTAATCAATTGAAGAAGAGATGAATCAGAAGCATTGGCTAAAGCAGTGGCTTTCTTTGATGGTGTTTTCCCCGGAGGAAGAATTGGATCAGGTCCCACCACAGTATGCAGGCTGAGATGATTCATCTTTTCCAAAACTGAGACTATCAGGAGAACAAAGTAATTCTTCTTTTCCGTCATTTGACCGTGCTGTATATTTCATTACTTCATGAGTGTGTTAATTTGCTAGGACTGCTGTAACATAGTGCTACAGACTGGGTGGCTTCACTATGGAAATTTATTTTCTCACAGTCCCGGTCAGAAGTCCAACATAAAGGTGTCAGCAGAGTTGATTCCTTTTGAGGTCTCTCTCCTTGGCTTATGGACAGTCAAGGAGATGTATCTTATCATGTTTCCTCTGTAGGTGTTTGTGTTTGGAGTTGATTCCTTTTCAGGCCTCTCTGCTTGGCCTGTAGATGGTCAAGGAGATGTATCTTCTCATCATGTTTCCTCTGTAGGTGTGTGTGTTCCAAATTTCCTCTAAGGACATCAGCCATATTAGGTTGGAGCACATCCTCATGACCTTATTTTAACTTCATTACTTCTGTAAAGACCTTTCTCCAAATATGATCACATTCTGAGGAACTGGAGTTTACTTCATGTAGGGATTTTAATTTTTGTAGATAAATTCAGTCCATAACAATGAATCTCATGTCCATAAAAGAAAAATCCTTTCCTTTTATGCATATGCATGCACATCTCTAATTTTTGTAACACACACATAAGCAGATATATATCTATAGTTTAAATGAAATGATGTACATATTTAATAATTTTGGCCTTCTGTCTTCATATTTCTTGCATATTTCAGTACAGACAGCCTGCTATTTAACATAGACTCACAACATAGCTAATCATGACAAAAGACTAGCCTAAGACAAAATTGGAACTCGAGTAGGTTAATAGATGCCTATAAATCTCCTACTAGTGTGTATGAATAAATCACACATCACATGTGCCTGCTATTCATCTCTCAAGCTTTGCTGTGAATAAAAGGCTTACATTTGTTCCTGCATCAGCCACTTCTAAAAATTCCAATGTAGTTATTAATAATGTGCCATTTTGTACAGCACTCTATTTAAGTAGTATGTTTCAGTCATTCTCCTATTCAACAAATGTTTACTGAGCACCTCCTATCACGAAGATACTGTTGAATAAATACAGAAATGTATTTAAAAATTAAACGGCACAGTGCTTCATAATGTGTTTGCAGTAAGAAAAATACTTCATCGTTAGGAAATTTTAAAAAGCAAAATACTTCAGAGTGACTGACATACTACAAGGAGTATCTTTATGACATAGTAGTTACTGGATTTTGTTTCAAGTTAGATAAGATGCCATTTAATAGATCTGAGTGGCAGTGTAAAGGCTTGTGTGTGACCCTAGCTGTTTCAATAGTTTATTTTTATATGTCTCAAAAGATTAGACATTTAAATCTGAAAGAAATTAAAATTATATTTCTTGGATTAAAAAAAAATTGTCATCCTATAATAAACTGCATCAAATAGTTTTCTATGTTGTGAAAATAGACCATGCTCTGACACGTTTCTGTTTTCTTCTCAAGGAACAATAGGTGCACAATTACCAAACTATTTGTGATAGAAATCCTGAAAGTACATGCTCAAAAAAAAAAAAAAAAAAAGAGAATAATGATCTCAGAAAAGGGAGGTGTTGAAAGTGGGGGACACTTTTGTTTCTTTGTAATTTTGTTATTCCAATTCTTCAAGAAACATTTGTGGTACCAGTACTTAGAAATTATAAAGCAATTTAATTAAAAAAAAAAAAAAAAAAAAAAACTTGACAGAAGGATTTTTTTTTTTTTTTTTTTTTTTTAAGAGACGGAGTCTCCCTCTGTAACCCGGCTAGAGTGCAGTGGCAGGATCTTGGCTCACTGCAAACTCTGCCTCCTGAGTTCAAGCCATTCTCCTGCCTCAGCCTCCTACCATGCCCGGCTAATTTTTGTATTTTTAGTAGAGATGGGGTTTCACCATGTTAGCCAAGATGGTCTCGATCTCCTGACCTTATGATCCACCCGCCTAGGCCTCCCAAAGTGCTGGGATTACAGGCGTGAGCCACCACGCCTGGCCGGATTTTTAAAGAACAAGAAATAGAGAAAATAGATTTTCCTAAATTCAAAATATAATGTGTATCTATCTATATATATGTATGTGTGTGTATGTATATATTTATTTTTCTGAGAGGAAGGCTTGCTCTGTCATTCAGGTTGGAGTACAGTGGTGTGATCTTGGATCATTGCAACCTCAATCTCCTGAGCTCAGGCCATTTTCCCTACACAGCCTCCTGAGTAGCTGGGACTACAGGCACTCACCACCATGCACAGATAATTTCTGTATTTTTTTATTTTTTATTTTTTTTGTAGAGATGGGGCCTCACTAGGTTGTCCAGGCTGGTCCCCAACTCCTGGCCTCAAGTGATTCTCCTGCCTCGGCTTCCTAAAATGTTGGGATTACAGGTGTGAGTTACTATAGCCAGCCTCAAAATATAAATCCACAGACCATCCACAGGCTAATTAGTGAAAACACATTGTGGTATATTGTGGGACTGAATATAGAACAAGGATTGATTCATAAACCAGAGGAAAATGAGGGAACAATTTTTCAATTAATGATTGACTATCAGGTAAATAGTATCAGAAGTGTATATTGACCCCTCTTTCTATACCAAAAGTATACTAATGATTTCAAAAGTTAATGTAATAAACAAATAAAGCCTAAGGAAAATAATAAATAAAATTACGTATTCATGTATGTCAGCAATTGTAAGGACCTCGTGAGCAAATAAAAGCAATGGAAGGCAAAAATTAACAACTTTGACACAGCGTTGTTTTTTATCTGAATATCATAAATCAGAAACAAAATTAAAAGACAAGCTATGAGGAAACCGAATAACAAAGAGGGCAAAGAATTAAAACCCCAAAGAAGTCACGTAGATCAAGGGGTAACATTAAAATAAAATCTCAATAGGGAAATGGACAAAGGGGAGGAACATAATCTTCCTACAGAGAAATACAGATAAGCAGCAAACAAATATTCTCAGCCTCACAGAGAAATGCAAATTAGGTATTTTTTTCCCTATCCTTTATTTAAAGATTTTTAAAAGTGACTACTGTACCCAGTTTGGCAAGGGGGCTGTGAAAACACGTGTCCTCAAATGCTACTTGAGGGAATGCAGTTTGTTAAATATATTTTTTGTAGGTAATATTTTAGTATGTTTTAAAAGCCTTAGAGTGTTTCCTTTCTTTCTTTCTTTCTTTTTTTTTTTTTTTTTTTTTTTTTTTTGAGATGGAGTCTCCTCTGTCGCCAGGGTGGAGTGCAGTGGCGCCATCTCGGCTCACTGCAAGTTCCACCTCCTGGGTTCACGCCATTCTCCTGCCTCAGCCTCCCGAGTA